TAAATATCGCACATGTCAATGATAATGATATTGTTCCATAACCAATAAAATGACATTTTATTCATTACGTCAAAATATAAGTACTGCTTCACGTAACGATATAGACTTCGTTCATTGACACAAATGATATTGATGTCGTTCCAGTATAGAATGCACTCATTCATATAATAACACTGAAATCGTTCCTAAAACACAAAATGATTTTGATGTCATTTCAATACAAAAGTTGCACTAATTAACATAGCGATATTGAAATCGTTCATGAGACGCAAAATGATATTGATGTCGTTTTCTTATCAAATACCCACCATTTTATTTTTTTCCTAATGACATTGAAGTCGTTATAGATTAATTAAACGACATAGAAGTTGTTTCGATAAAAAAAAACTTCCCCCTCATGCGCGACTCGAGGTGTTATGAACACACGTCTAAAGGATAAGTTGCTCTCGGGAGGTGAACAACTCATAGGTACGAGTGCATCGGCATGAACCACGCATATAACAACATTCATGTTGTTTCATTACAATATTTACTACATTGATATCGTTCTAGTTCAAATCATAACTAAAATGACATTGATATCGTTTCGTTAATTACATAAGGATTGATATCGTTATGTATTAAACCCATGGAATAACATAACGACATTCATGTCGTTTTAATACAAATTTTACGAGATTGAGATCGTTATGTATCAAACCTCGAAATAACATGACGACATATAGGTCGTTTTAGTACAAATTTGGTGAGATCGAGATCGTTCCAGTTCGAATCATAACGATAACGAAATTGAAGTCGTTTCTTTTCATATATAATGGCAATAATATCGTTTTGAATAAAAAATGACGATTTGACCGTCCATGACCGCCCGTCATGCCACTGACATATATAGGACGATCGAAAGAGGTTATCAAGTAGGTTAGATTTCACTCAAAATAAATTATGAGAACATTTGTATTTCTATAGTTGCCTGCACCTTCGAACTATTCTTACAGAAAAAAGGTATCTTCATTCATTCTTTTTAAGTTGTTCGAGCGGTCTCAACCCATTTGATGACCCCATTCGATCGTCCTATATATGTCGGATGCACGTTGGATAGTCATGAACGATTGAATCATCGTTTTTAGCAGAAACGATATAATTCTCGTTTGATATAATCTAACACAATTTATATGTTGTTTTAGTTGTTATTTATGCTGAAACGATATCAATGTCGTCGAAAATTGTACCGAAACAATAGTGATATCGTTATGTATCAAACCCATTAAATAATATAACGACATACATATTGTTTAAGTACAAATTTGACGAGTTTGAAATCATTTCAATTCAAATCATAA